GTCCAGTGTGCAGTTGGTTCACATTAAAGGGATATGGTAAAAATGCAAGCTGTACTTTAGGTGAAAATACATAAAATGGGTTTCAGAGGTTTGCATTGGTTCTCAGGTGAAGGAATTTGCCTGACCCTAGGAGCATTTGCTGATGTCTGGACATTTACACAGTGATAGTTCAGGTGTGGTGGGCAGAGGGGCACCACATACGATTGGCATCTCATAGGTAAAGGCCCAAGTCACTTAATCATTCTACACGTACAACCTCTTATCACAAAGATATATCCAGCCCCAGATGCCAACATTGTGATCAGTGAAAGATTCATGGGACACATCCTACGTATTTAAGCTAGACCTTGAACTTCCTTAAACCGTGATGTCTTATTTTCCTAAGATTTTTTCCATTTTTTTTAATGATAACTTTCCATTTTCTAGCATGTCTCCCTTGACAGCAGATACTCAAAAGTGTGAGGAACTGACTAATCACTACCACATTCCCCAAATAGTAAATGTTGGGTAATTATTGTCTCCAGTTTTATGACAACTTTGTGTGAAATGATCAATATCTGCATTATTATGACCACATGGATGCTAACCACTGCTGCAGCAGATAAAACACTATGATAATTTTGCTTACACATTTTTTTTTGTTTTTTCGAGACAGGGTTTCTCTGTATTATTTTGGAGGCTGCCTGGAACTCACTCTGTAGACCAGGCTGGCCTCGAATTCACAGAGATCTGCCTGCCTCTGCCTCCCAAGTGCTGGGATTAAAGGCATGTGCCACCAATGCCCAGCTTGCTTACACATTTTTGAGCAAGTAATTAATTGACACTCTAGAAGTCATTTATTCCCCATTAAAGACTCATCTTAAACTTTCTTGATGATGAGCCCTTTGTCATCAGGCAGAGTTTCTTTCAGGATCCTTGTGCATTGTCTCTCACTTTGTTAATTGTACGATACCATGATGACATGCGCATCCCCGGAACCAGAATATGAGATCTTAAGGTTAACCTCAATACCTGTGTCTTTTAGCCTTCGGTGTCTCGCATCAGTACTGAGCACGTAGTTCATAATGAGTATCAGTCAACTACTGAATGGAATAAGAGCTTTCCTTTTAAAGTAGCCTCTAGTATTTTGTAAATAGCTTTGTGACTATTTCACTGATTTCTCAGTCTCTTCTTACAAGTCATAAAGTCCTGTGACAACCCCAGTAGTTAAAATGGGCACAGCAAACCTCATGGGGTCTGTGGTACTTAAAAATCATCTCCTGTTTCTTCATTTCTGCCAGTCCTGTGAGGGGAAAGTTACTATCATCTGTTATAAGGATAGATTTGAGAGGAACTACCTTGGCTCAATTATTAGAATTTGTTCAGGTCAAAAATGCCATTTTTTTCCAGAGAGGTTCATGGCTACCAATTATTAGCTGGAGAGGGGTTGGATGTTATTAGGAGGTAGAATATATGCTGTTCAGAACTCTTTTCTATCTGAAAATGCCTCCTCTCTTGGCCTGGACTCTACCTCTGAGCTGGTGGCTCTTTATGTCAACTGATGACAGGATGTGGAGTGGATATGATCATAGGCTTAGTTTGATGGAATATTTGAATAATTGTGCAGTTTCAGTGGAATCTGTGTTCCCTCCATTAGATAGAAGTGGAGAGTAATGGGTTAAATTATAAGTAATACTAGGCATAAAGGCAGTTAGATTAAAAAAATATGTAGTACTCTAAGCTATATTTCTGATAAAACTTAACCTTTACAATAATCTTGAGAAGTAAATGTTTGCACTTTTAGCATGTAGATTTTGCATTTCTATTAGATTTAGACCTCCCTCCTTATCTCGCTCCCTTACTCCCTCCCTCCTTCCCCTTCTTTCTTTCCTTTCCTTATACAAGTTCCATGTATGTACATATATGTGTGTGTGTGCATATATGTGTGAACTTAGAGGCCAGGAGTTGATGTTGGGCATCTTCCTCGGTTGCAGTCCACCTTATTTTTCGAGACGAGGTTTCCCACTGAACCTAGAGCTCACCAACTGACTGCATTGGCTGGGCAGCAAGCGCCATAGATACCTGTCTCTTACCCCTTCCCTAGAACCAGAGTTTACAACTATACTGACTTTTTAAGTGGGTGCCAGGGGACCCAAACACAGGTCCTCATGCTTGTGTGGCTGCCTGCTTACTGACTGAATCATCTCCCCAGTCTGTCTCTTCATTACTTTTCACTAACCTCCCTCCTTCCCTCTTTCATTTCTTTTTCAATTTTAGCTATTAGAGTACATGAACTATAGAGTTAAGGCTTCCTGATTTTGTTCCAGGGGGAAAACCAACTCATGAATTGGACTTTAGAAATGAGTTAACTGTGTTTTATTGTTTCCCAGCAGAATTTGCTGCTGGAATTTTTGGATTTGAAAATAGACTGTTCATTTACTGTTTCTTTATGTATTATGTTTTGTGTTAGATACTGAGATTGCTAAGATGAGTGGTCTAGAAATTCTGTGCTTGAGGATCCCACAGTAATTGTTTGCTTCTGATTATTTTAAGTAGGAAGAGAGAAGCAAGTGATAGAGGAAAATGTGTAAATAATGGAAATTTGGTGGCCACATTGTGACTTTTTAAAAGAAGGATTCACTCCTGCAACAAACAAAATGTGCTTGTAGAAACATTAAAAAATGAAGATAGAAATTAAAGAAAAGTTTTCCCAACTAGTTGGATCAATTTTCTGTTTATCTACCTTTTGATTATTTGGATAAATGAAGAAATGTCACACACACACACACACACACACACACACACACACACACACACAAATCAACCACATTAATTCCTAATTCCATAGTCTGTTTACTTCTCTGGAAATACACTAAAATGTACTGTTAATGTTTTAACACCATTTTTGTGATTGAGTAGCAGTTTATTGCATATAAGTAGGTCAAATATGTTTAATTAATCCTGTTGCTAGATAATAAGGTAAGTGTGTGCTGTGGGTGTGTATGTGGACATGTGTGTGTGTACAACCTCATAAAAGGCAGATGATGATGTTGGGAATCTGACTCTATCAACATCCTTTTCCCTGACTGAACTTGGAATAGGGCTGGCAGCCTAGGTTTTTATAGAGTTCCACTGATCTGCACTCAGTTTCTTGTGACTACATAGCAAGTACTCTTGCCCACTGAATGATCTCCTACCTCCTATTTAAGAAACTTAATATTTTATAACAAGTCACACAGAGACCTTTGTAGGTCACTTATTCTGTGTAGTCCTGCATTATTTCCATAGAATTTACTAGTCTGTAAGTACTGGGCATGAAGAAGAATTGGATGTTTCTTTTGTTTTTAAACTATCATCCAGAAAACCGGGGTAATTTGCCTATCACCAGCAATTTGAGTTTACATTTCTGTTACGCTTCTCCAGCATTTGGCACTTTCTCTTTCTTTAAGACAGTGTTTTCCAATTTGAAAACTGGCAAAGCTGATATTATAAAGACTGTCTTTTTGGAAAGTCTTGCCATTATAATTTGCTAGTCATTGTTTCCTGGCAGATTGCTATCATTTTGTGTCGGGTTTAATTGGTCAGCTCCTTATCTGCCTTGTAGCTCCAGAGCTTGTTGAGGGTCAAGTGTATCCTATCCACCTGCGTGTTTCCAAAGGCTCATGATTGTTTGTTGAATTAAATGGAACCAGAGTACCTGTTGCCTAGCAACTCTTGGCCAGATGTATAATTTTCAGCCACCAATAGGAATGCCTGCTATTTCTGTCAGCTGCATAACAATGAGGCAATTTACTGAGCAATGATTATTTGCCAGGACGTGTGTAGTGATCTGTATCCTTAACACATACTTCACATACTAAACACTGTCAGCAAGGCCTTAAAGTAAGGAGCAGCCAATTTCCAAGCGGTCTTTCTTTTCCTCTTCTTGCCTCTTCTACCCTTTTCTATTTTCTCCCCTTTTCATCATAGATGTTTTTAACATGTCTGAACTAGAAAGACTGGCATAGTAAACCTTGACCCATATAACAACATTCAGCTTCAAGAACTATTAACATGTGATGAGGAAAGAAAGGCAAAGATGAAATAAAACTCATCCCCATAATTTAAAGGTCAGTGGTATAGCACTTGCCGGCCAATCCAAAGAACATGGGTTTGGTTGTCAATATCACAAAATAATAATGATTATGATAATAGTAAAGTGTATTTTAAGTACCTTCTTTAACTAATATATTTATGATATACTAATAATATAAAGCACAATGTCGTTACTGTATTTTGAAGTGTTTGCATCAGTTCTCTAGTAGGATCTAGTCAGTGCTAATTTCCTTGGTGCTCGCATATATGACTTCTCATACTTGAATCAGGATTGACACAAGTACAACGTACTGTTTTCTCAGCCATTCCAATAACACATTTCCTTTCCCCAGGAGAATATAAGGTCCCTATTAAAGATTATTAAGTTGAGGAACCTTAAATAATCATCATTGGGGTATGTGTTGATACCAGAGGACTTGTCAAGTATACATGAAACCTGGGTTTAATACCAACAATAAAAACAATTACCCATGGACTGGATATCTATTTGGAAGCTTCACCAGTAGAAGTACATTAGGAAGTTAACCTCAGAGAAACAGCAGAGCATGTGGCTGTGGGGAGTGAAATAGTTCCTGTGCCACGGATGCTCAAAACTTATTCTCCCTGCATCTTCATCCATGTATTTACCTGGTGGCAGGGCTCCCCTCCCTCTACTCTCGGTTTTTGTGATGAGCCTCCACTGTGGGCTATAGCCAAGTCTCCTCCCTAAAGATGTGGAAGTGGTATTGATTTGAAAATTCTATCTTTACACTGAGGTGAATGCATTAAGACCTGCTGCTCCCTGGTCCCCCTCCTGACTGGGAGAGGATAGCATGCAATGGAAGTCATGGGTTTGCTGTTTTGCATAGTGGGTAATGACTTTTAGAGGATATTTTATATTAAGTAAAGTTTCAAATTTATTTTCTGGTTCTGTTTTTGATTTGAAGGTCTTGCAGTTCTCCACTGTGTGGTGGCAGATGGGAACACTACCAGAACACCTGAAACCAATAGCTCTCTCTGTGGAGTTTCTGGGGAAAACTGCACAGGTAATGCTTATGCTTCATAGCTAATCCAGGAAAGCCACATCCACTAGGCTTTATCATTTTCTAAAAATAATAGTCATTATACTCGGTGGTTCTTTGTGCTTATAGTAGTATACTAGGTACTGTCTTAAGGAATTTGTACGAAGTAATGTATTCATTACTTGTAAGAGTTTTCTAAGTGAGATAAAAATTTAAAAACAATGTAGTATATTTTATTCATTTAAATAATACTATAAGAAGGATATAATATAGTTTTAAACAAAAAGGATGGGGCAATTTCAGGTTACAAAACTCCCCTAAGGTTACTGCACTGAAGGTCACAAGTCTGCAAATTGCAACTCTGTGATTTGAACTCCAGTCTCCCTGATTTTAGTGCCTCCATGCTTAGCAACCATATACTGAGGGTCTTAGTTACTTTTCTGGTTGCTCTGATAAAATTCTTGATAAAATCATCTCCAGGAAGGAAGGACTTATTTTGGCTCACAGTTTGAGGATCCAGTGTAACATGGCTATGTCTGTGGTCCTGGGAGCCCAAGGCAGTTGGTCACGTCATAGGCACAATAAGGAAGCATTGAGGGATGAACAGTGGAGCCCTCTAGTTTTCTCCTTTATATTTGCGCAGGCAGGCACAGTAGCATTTTCAGGATGTGTCTTCCCACTTTGAGTAAATCTCTGTGAAAGCATCCCCACACACATGCCCAGAAGTGTGTCTCCTAGGTGATTCTGAGGAAAGTTGACCATATGTCATACGTCAGTTAGGTATGTTAAGGCTGAAATGATCAAGCCCACTGTCTCTTTATTGATGCACTGTCTTGGTGCATCCATCGTAAAAGGGAGATATGGAGTCCTAATATTACAGTTGTTTCTGTCTGTGTGGTAGTTCTCTGGGTGGCTTTGGACCAATCTAAATTTCTTTTCTTGATTACAGTTCTTAGCAATGACTGTAGAAGGCTCTAGGAGTCAACATTAGGAAGTACTGGCCAGAGACACTTGGAGTCTTTTCCTGCCCTTCTTAGAATGTAATATTTGAGCCTATTGCATCTTGCTCATCAAGGGTATAGACTCAGGCATGCTTCTCATCACTCCTCAACTGCAGTGCTGTATGGCACATATATAGGTTAGAGTTCGTTCTTCATATACAGTTTTCCTGAACCCCAAACAATGCATTTTCCACTAATCTCAGCCATTTGTGATCTTCTGCTGCCTTTCTGTGGGTAGCAAAGATGTTTTGCTAATTTGCATTGTGTGTCCTGTCTGCTGGACATAGTATATGGTAAGTATCATTTCTCCTTTTAGTTATGCCAATATTTGCTTTATATTTTTATGTGTTCTTGTGTTGGGTGCATGTATATTTATAGTTGGGAACTGGAAACCTTATCAAATAATAATACTTATCTTTGATACTTGGTGTTTGCTGGCAGATTTGGAGCTAAAGCTTCTTAGGTCTAATCTATGCATAACCACCACTGATGTCCTTTGCCCAACATTGATGTGGGTGCCTGCATCCCCTCACTTTCAGGACATGCATTTCCTAAATCTAAGCTGTCTCCCATAGACAAATGAATACATAGTTAAATCTTGTCATTCTATCTCTCAGGATTAAGGAGTTCATCTCACTTATGCCTTATGTAATTACTGATAGGGAAAACCATACATTTTATTTTAGTTATTATTTTTCAGTCTATGGCTCTTTTGTTCTTTTTTTTCTTGTCTTGCTGTCTGCCTTTATGCTTTGTTGATTATCTTTTCACTAGTATATTCTGATTCTCCCTCTCCATGACTATTTTATCTGCAATTGGCAGTAAGCTTACATGAGAATAATTAGATAATTTAACAAATTAATAGAATAATAATGTAAATAAAATAATAATTTAACTAATTATTTAAAGTTGGTAACAACTAAGCTTCAATCACATATAAATCTCTTTTATTTACTACATATTTTTTTGTTTTTTTTACGAGACAGGTTTTCTCTGTATTGTTTTGGAGGCTATCAGTCCAGCCCGGCTCGAACTCACAGAGATCTGCCTGCCTCTGCCTCCCGAGTGCTGGGATTAAAGGCGTGCACCACCACCTCCCGGCTTATTTACTACATTTTTATGCACATGAGGATATCTAACGTTGAGGTCAACATCAACAATGATATCTATTATCTATTAAACTTATGACATATGCAAAGTACTGTTGTGTTTTATATTCATTAATTGATTTAATAATGAAATTAACTATTATTTCCACTTTCATATGAAGCTGCTGAGGAAACAGAGAGGCTAAGTCATTTGTTTAAGCACACACAGTAAGCAGAGGAGTCTGACATAATACCATCTATAGGATGCAAATTATTAGCTACCTGAAAGTCATATGGGGACATTGAAATGAAGATGCTGTGAGGAGACTACTTAAAAGACAAAGTGCCTGAAAGCAAAGTCCAGGCAGAGTCCAGATGGTTCTTGAAAGAGTAGCTGATATCATGAGCAGACCTTTTATGACTGGCTCTTGCCACTGGCAAGCCACTAAGCTTTCAGAACCTAGGTCTGGAGCCAGTGGCCCAAAGAAATGTGTTACATGATATGGAGACAATTTTTCTGTGTCTAAATAATTTTTTTTATTTTTAATAAGCTCGGTATCTAAGAATTACATTTTCAGTTTGTCATTCCCTGGTGAGTAAGGAATGTACCATTCACTCATACTTCCAGGCATCTAGGATGCAATGAGCCTTCTTTGTGATGCCAGGAATAAACAATAAACAAAAGGGGCAAAGATGAGATCAAGAAAGTAGAGGAGTAGAACTCCTCAGGTTAATGTGTTCATCTTTGTGGGCATCTCTGTGGCTTCTGCATTGCAGATTAGATAACTGAGATGTCATATAGAAAAGCAGAAGAGTTTGAGATGTCACAAGGAAGGAGACACCTTCTAGCCTAGAGTTGAAATGGGTTCAAGCCCAATGGAGGGCATGCTGAGCTGATGTTGCATGTGTTTTGAAGTCAGCCAATGGGATTTGCTGATGAAATTGAGGTAAAATAAGTCAAAGAAGTCCAAATGATGCTGAAATGTTTACTCTAAATAAAGTCCCATTTGCAACTTAAGTTGAAATACCAGTTTAGATATTCAACTGTGTGGTTAGTTGAACAATTCATATTATGTAATGACATTTTAGATGAGACATCAACCCCCGGAACTGTTGCTATGAAAATAGGACCTCATGGACTCACTAATGGAGTGAGTGTGGAGAGAGGAGAACATTCTGGACCCTGAGTGGCTGAGAAGCCTGAGAAGCCAAGGGCAACAAGAAAAAGTCTGCATCGGGGGCCAGGAGGCTGAGCAAAGAAACTCTGATTTTATTCAGAATTTTTTTAGCATGTTTGATTTAAAACCAAAAGAAAACACAAGCTTTCTTCTTGACCAGTGGTCATTTGCTCCAGCCATGAAGAATTTTGAATGTAGGCAAACATGGTACAGTTCAATACTCCTGGTAGTTAGCTTTCTGTTGTAACAGAAACTACCCAAGAAAATCAACTGATTTCAGGAAAAGGTTTATTTTGGCTCAGAGTCTTGGTGGTTCTACTGTATGGACACTTGGCCTTGTTGCTTTGGTGCCTGTGGTGAGATAGCTCTTTATGGTGGGCATGTGTGTCAGAGGCAGTCAATTCCTGGAGAGAAAAAAGTCAACATTCTACAGTTGCCTTTCCAGGTACACCCTGAGTGAGCCAAGCTTTCCCACTACACCTGTCTTTCTAGAGGTCTACAATTGCTAATAGGGTTGTGGGCAGGTGACCAAGTCTTTAACACATGAGATTTTGATCATACTTATCCAAACTATAACAAAAATTGATTGACCATTTTTTCCTTTAGTAGATAAAAGCAGGTCGGCTCTCTGTTGTAGATCTTATTTCAGTAATGGCTAGCCTGATCAACTTGGCCAAAACACAGTCTAACCTGGCTTTAACATAATCCCATGATTCCCACCTCTCCCCAGTATCAACCATGAATCCCAATTTCTCAGGAAGGAGCACCTTCCTCTTCTACTTTTCTATAGGAAATGCCATTTAGCTGTAAGACACATGAAGATTCCCCAAACTCCAAATTTTTCATTGTGAATTCTCCAAGCTCCTGATTCAAGGAGACAGTTGGTAAGATAAGAATGGAAATTTGCTTTAAAAATATAAAACTGTCTTCTTCAGATTTTGGCATAAGAAAATTATAAAATGAAATCTCTACTGGGAAGAGCTCCCAGAAGCTTAGAAGTGGACTGTTAAAGCCTTTGAAAACACTTCACATGCTAGAAGGAAGCCTATTTCCAATATCTGTGGGGCCTTGTGTACCTTTTTCTGAGCATTCTTCTTCATTGTAGAGGTAAGATATGTGTATGGGAGGATTAATTTGTAGTCATTTGCCCTCCTTACCTCTCTGTATTTATTTATCCCTGTAAAGTTTCTATTTCAATGTTTAGCATCCTCCTGTAATTTGTTCTATTATGCATGTAAATAAGGGGCTAGAAATAATGTGAAGTTATAATCACTGGAGTAAGTATCATGGAAAGCATAATTGGCTGATGGGATAAGATGGTGCAGTTGGTAAAAGCATTCACTGCCTAAACCTGAGTTTGATTCCTGGAGCTCACATGGTAGAAGGAGACAACCAAATGCTTCAAGTTGTCCTTTGACATCCACATTTACTCCTTGTCATGCGTTTAGTCACCCACACTGTGTCACACATGCACCTACCCATATACACATGCAAGTTGGTTAAATAATTAAGGTGACAACATGTTTAAATGCCAGGATAATTATAGACCTAATTTGTCTGCACTGGCTGGTTTTGTGTGTCAACTAGATACAAGCTAGAGTCATCAGAGAAGAAGGAACCTCAGTTGATGAAATGCCCCTATCAGGTTCAGCTGTAAGGCATTTTCTCATTTAGTGATCAGTGGGGGAGGGTCCAAGCCCATAGGGGGTGGAAACATCCCTGGGCTGTTGGTCCTGGGTTCTTTAAGAAGGTGGGATGAGCAAGCCATGGGAAGCAAACCAGTAAGCAGTTCCCCTCCACGGCCTCTGCATCAGCTCCTGCAACTGGGATCCTTCCCTGTTTGAGTTCCTGTTCTGACTTCATTCAGTGATGAACAGCAATGCTGAAGTGTAAGCCACACAAACCTTTCCTCCAAAACTTGCATTTTGGTCATGGAGTTTCACCGCAGCAGTAGAAACCCTGACTAAGACAGTGTCCATTCTGAGAGCTCCAATCACAACTGTTATAAAAACCTCTTTGTATTTAAAAAAACTTTTAAGTATTAATTAGGTGTTAATATTGTAAATATGCCAGACTCAGGAATATCCCATATTAGAACTAAATTATTTAATTTCACCTTTTAGATTTCTCTCCTTTAAATTTGTCACATCTACGCTAATTAGCCTTATGACCCAACAAGAGCAAGTGCTTCTTGTCGAATGGTCTTTCTGAGCCAAGCTAGATGGTTATTTTTTCTGATCCCTACTGCAAAATATTTAAATCAAATGTTTGCATACACTTGTCTGTCATAACTCTGATGGTTTCTGACTCAATTGACCTTAAGAATATTGAGAAGCCAGTGTCCCACAACAGAGTGAGACAGTATGTGTAGCATCTCTCCAAGTCTGAGGTTCTAGTTGGCCAGCTGACAGGTGGAGTTGCTCTGTGGAGTTCTGAAATACCATCTGACCACCAAGGGAATACCCCAGTTTGGATACAGTGCAGTGAACCAGGTTAAGATGAGAACGAAAAGACCAGTTAAGTTCACTCACCGCTAACATCATGGAAGTTGTATTGCCGTCCTATTTTCAAGAGAAACACAAGAGCTGCGGCTGGTGGTACTTTTGTCATGGGATTACTCCTTTAACTCTGATAAATATCCATGTACCAGGAGAGCAGAATGAACCCCACCCTGGCCCCTCTCATCCACCTCATGATAGAATGTGGCTACCCAAGTTCAATTTCAGACAATGGGACTGAAGTGGATGCTGGATGAGAAATAATTATTACTCTGCCATTTGCAGAGAGAATGCTGACAAACTTTCTCATTTCAGAGACAGCCTAAGGCAGGTTCTTGTTTGGGTTTTATTTACTTGGTGTTACATATCAAGATGTGTGATTTATTTCTGTTTCAGCTCTGGAAGTTCCACAGAGAAATCAGACATTTTCTGCCTGGTGGCACAGAAAGGGTTTTAAATCCAGATGACTCTGGGAATATTTAAATGCATGTTTCTTTGGCGAGCTGAGCTGAGTGATCAAAACAGGGCCTGGCGACTGCTTGGCTGGCATGGATTTGTGCTGCTTGGATGGGCAGAGGCTGCTTTAACCCTGCATCCAGCAGCTGCCGGTTAATTTGTCTTTTGGAATGATATTCTACGTGGTGTTTATTGAAAGTCTGGGTGCATATAAAAGAGCCCAGAAAGGAGAGGAATTAGTCTAAGTCTTGGATATAAAGTCTCAGGGCTTAGATTTAAAGGCCAGGATGCTTTGCAAATCAAGATAGACCTTCTGGAGCATAAATGATCTGCTACTAGGTCTTGCTACCTCCTGAATGTATCTCTTTGCTTTTCATCCCCTGGTCCAGACCCACATCACACTCTCTGGCATGACCCAGTTTCCGTTGGCTTTTTCTTAGTGCTCAACATCTCCCTATGCTAGCGTAGTCTACCTTGCCTTACCTGAAGAATGGGAGAGTGCTTCCCTGTGCAGTGTTTTTCCTTTGCAGGTATCATGTAACTTCTAGGAGAGTTGCAGTCTCTCTGATGAGTCCCACTAACTGATGTGGACGAGAGCAAAGAGTTTGGCATGGACAAGTGTTCAGCCTGGGAGTCAAGTGATTCAACAATGAAAACCGGGTCAGCCAGCTCCTGAGCAGCAATCTGGCATCCACTGAGTTTGTAGAGCAGCCCTGGATATCTGCATCGATTGACTCATCCAGTTGTGGTTCAGATCTTTAGTACAGATAGGCATGCTATTATTTACTAACAGTACAGCACAACAACTTATTTGATTTCCATGTTGTATTAAGTACCATGAGTAATTTAGACTTTATAGAGGATGTATACACATTGTATTTAACGTTATACAACATTATATAAGAAATTCAGATTTCTTGGTGTTAAGACATGTGTAAAGGGCTTGGAAGCAGTCTCCCATGGATCCTGAGAGATCTGAATTACATCTTGGCGTCACAGAAATATACAGTGTATTGGTTATCCAAATGTCTTCCAGATTCTTCAGTCTGCCCCACAGAGTTATTCTGTGTTAAGTTTATATTAATGGGTTTATTGATTATTGTTGACAAGGAAATCACAACTTAATATCATTGGCAAGTGGGAAATGGTCCCGACAATGACCGCTGTATGTCTTTTTGTTGCCTCTCCTCTCCAAGTCTCAATCCTGAAAACTGCTGGCTGTACCATGTACATGGAAGTTTAGCTCTTGGTGAGAGTTGGCTTGTGGCTATTTTGTCATATATCTGGCATATATTAGTTGTGAATCAACAAATGAAATGGGCAATTAGTATTTTAACAGTGTTTTCTTCTTTTCCAGGTACAACCCCTAGACAGAAACTGAAAATACACTTCTCTCGGTGCCCCAAGCAATACAAGCATTACTGCATCCATGGGAGATGCCGCTTCGTGGCTGATGAGCAAACACCCTCCTGCATGTAAGTAGAAGGCCCTGTGCCCATGAGTAGAGAGAGGGGTGCAGCATGCTCTCAGCCTGGGGCTTGACAGCATTGGAAAGTCTGAGCTAACCCTACCATCTGTCCGGATGCAGTTCCGCCAGGTCCTGCCTTCAGCCACTTTTTTTAGGGCCCAGCTCAGCATATACTTGTGGAGACACTGACACAGACTTTCCTCTTGAAATAAGAGTGTGAGAATCCAGACCCAATTCTGTACTGTTGGTGTCCTCTGCTCCCTTGCGCAAGCAAAGCCGATTCTGTCTGTCTTAGGATCTCGTCAGTCCCAAACATCTCCTGGGTGGTTCAAATGAAAGCAGATTCTTTGGCATGGGTGAGGCAGTTCTGCAGTTGATGTAAATGCGAAGGAATTCCTGCCAAACTAGATGCTGTCCATTTGCAGGTGTCAGTATGAGGAAACCAGAGTATTCATAAATAGAGATGATTAAGGCCTACTTAGCACACTGGGGAATGGGGAGAGGAGCAGATTTTGGACCAAGAGTTCAGGTTTCAACATTTTTGTGTATTGCTAATATTCATTTTTTTCTAAAGGGATGTCCCATTAAAGAGAATTCTAGAATTTTACCTCATAGAAGGATCAAGTGAATCCTTAAGCATAATTCTGACCTTAAATTCAGACTATGTGTGTTCTGCACAGGTTGCTTAATAAGTATCTCTGGAGCATACTTGACCATTAAGGGTCATGGACCTCTTCAAAATTTAACTCAGTTCAATTTAAAAAGAAATATTCACAGACAATACTTAGAGGTGGGACAAGGATTGGCAGTATATAAAACAAGGTGTGTGTGTGTGTGACTAGACCTGAGTTTTTTAATTATTATTATCTTTTACTGGCTTGGAGACATATACTTAATTTTAAAATGGTGAATACCCTTTGACCCAGTACATTTTGCTCTAACTGGTTCCCATGTCTGCAGGTTTATTATTCTTTAACTGTGCTCTCTTCCGAGCCTACGATCAATTCACAGCTATCCCATTCGCCATGAGGTTGATACCTATTTCTTCAGTCTACAAAATACCTCAGATCCTGGCTCAGCTTCCTAGTTCTAGTTTTCAGTGCATCTGCAGATGCCCTGCTTAAGCCTGTGTTCCTTCCCAGGGGTTGGTAGACAAATCCCTCTCTTAGCCTATAGAGATTATTCTTCCTGGTCATGTAAGATGGCTCAGGCACCTGCTCCCTCTTCCTCTTGCTTTCCACGTGGGAGACACTCAACAAAAATAGTCATCAGCTGATGTGTAATTGGTTTGTTGAGGGCAAAATGACAGGAGAGGTGCTCTAGCCATGCTAAACTTTGACTTATAGCATGACTTCATTGGGTTGAAACCTACAGAAAGTTCTTGTTGAGATACTCAGTTAAAGCTACTGAACCCAGAGTTTACAATTATAAAAAATTCCTAAAGAGCAGTGTGTAATGGCTAGCCATTTATGGGCAAAACAGTCATTTAAAAAGTCATATGTGGTAGACTTGTTAAAGAAATAGCTAAGCTAATTAAAAGAGAGTGAGGATGTTTGCAAGATTTAATTATATTCTTTACAAACTCTCAAGAACATTCCCTGTCATGATCAATTAAAGATGATCTTTCTCAACACTAATTTTGAGAACATTTTGATACTTTAATGCATTTCTAAGTTATCAGCTGTGGCTTTTAAAAATTAAAAATTTACTTATTTTAGTGTGTGTGTGTGTGTGAGAGAGAGAGAGAGAGAGAGAGAGAGAGAGAGAGAGAGAGAGAGAGAGAGAGAGAGAGAGAGACTGTGGCAGCCAGAAAGAGGGTATTGTATCATATGGAAGTAGAAACACAAATGGCTGTGGGCTTCCCTGTGGGTTCTGGGAATTGAACCTGGGTCCTCTGCAAGAGAATTAAGTGCTCTTCTTAACCACTGCACTAGGGCTCCAGCTCTTTAGTCTGTGTTTTGACTGGAGAATGAAGACAATGAAGCAGTTCTTCCTCATTATCCTGAGAGCTTCTTGCTGCTTCCATAGGTGTGCCTCCCTTTCTCTACACAACAGTTCACTTTTCCATTGACACAGTTTCTGAGTTTGTTTCTGTTGCCGTTAGAAGCATTTTGCCAGCTACAACGTTGGCAGCTGGGATCTCCTTACTGGAGAAATAACTGGCTTTGTGGGAATTCACTGCATTGGCTCTTGTTGAGCATCAGCTATGGAACAGCCTGGCAGTAAATCTTGAGGTTTAGAAATAAATCAAGTAGCACAAAAACCTTTCCAAGGTGCAGGATTTGATTGTTTTGAGATGTAAATAATTGCACGGACACAGTTATTTCTTTGTGTTTGGATGTATCTGTGGAGAATAAAGGAAAATATTAGTGCAATGATGCTAGTGTTGTAAGAGATAAATTTGATTAAAATGTACTCAATATTTTATGTATCTTTTAAGGTTCTATAACAACTCAGAATGCTATGCAGAGTCTATATATATCATGGAGCCATTAGCTCAGGGTGCCTTGCAAGAATAATTCCCAGCTTGGTCAAAAGTTTCCCTAACTATAACCACAGACTTAGGGAATCCGCTGAGTTGAAGTTTATTTTGAGATTACATTGACAGAGATGTGAGAGACTAGAGGAAGCCATGGTTCCATTGAGATTCCTGACTGATTCTGGTCGAATTCCCTTTAAGAGGACCATGACATAAAAGACCGCTGGGTGAGGGAAATGGAAGCAGTGGTAAACATACCTGGAAATATAGCCTTACTCACTCAGCTAACAGAGCAGGTTGGGACAGGACTTGTGATATAGCTGTGTGCTGTGAATACTTTCTGACCTGTGGTCCCCCTAGTTATAGAATTAGAATCGTGTGAGTGTGAGTGTGTGTGTGTGTGTGTGTGTGTGTGTGTGTGTGTGTGTGTGTGTGTGTTAGGAGATTCCATAGAAATCATCTTTTCTGATCTTGGACATTTAGTCATGGGATTTCATGCACATTACTGTGTTTGACTATAAGAAATGTGTAATTCATTTGTTTGTTTTATTGAGACAGGGTTTATCTGTGTAGCCCTGACTGGAACTTGCTCTATAGACCAGGCTGCCTTTGAATTCACAGAGATCCACCCGACTCTGCCTGGGAAAAAAGGCTATAACTACCAAGTTTGACAATATGAAATCATGTTATTGTAAGGTAGTTCTTGGATGCAGTTAAATGTTTGTCTTACCCTACAATAAAAGGAGCATGCGTACAGCTTTTGCTGTCCTTGTCATGAGGTTTTTATCAATTGGAAATGCTGTGGAGTGAATTTTAGCATCTCCTTATGCACCAACTGAAAGAATAAAATAGCAAAACATTTTAATAGGTTGCCACAAAGGTCTGTTCCTTTCAGACAAGTTAATAGTGTTCTAGTGATGGTGGGTTTCAGTGGTACAAAGTGCAGTTGCTCTTGCACAAGGTAGAGGAGAGTTGCCTTCTTTTACTTTCATTAAGCAATGCAAACAGTGGTAACTTTGTCCAAAAGGAGGTAGAGACTCATAAAAGTGTCTTCCTTGTACAGCTGTGAGAAAGGCTACTTTGGGGCACGATGTGAGCGCGTAGACTTGTTTTACCTCCAGCAAGACAGAGGGCAGATCCTGGTTATCTGCTTGATTGCGGTCATGGTGGTATTCATCATTTTGGTCATCGGTGTCTGCACCTGCTGTCAGTAAGTGTATCTGCAAGGAGTTTTATGTAAACCCTAGAAATTACATCTAACTTTTCCTCTTCTTCCTTTTCTTCTTTCTCTTCATTTTTTTTCTGTTTCTTCCCCTTTGCTTTGTTTTAAGGAAATCAACTTTCTGAGGCATGTGTTTATTGATATAAGATTTATATTAGTAGTGAAATGCATTGCAGATAATTTTCATCAGTTTAGTGGGAGTGAATATTATAAATTGAAACAAAATTTACAGATTATCTTTGAGCTAAAAATTCTAATCATTTATCCATGAGGGTAGTGTATTTTGTGTTTGTTAGTAAGTTAAATAAAAAGGAGCTCTGATTACACTGTGAATTAACTTTGCATGGAAACTTCTCTTCAAATCACTAATCTCTCTTATAATCAGGTAGGAGATTATTCCTACTTATATAAATGTGTATCACCCCCACTGTGGCCTGTCGAAGCTAGCACTTGAACTTATAAAAATAAATGTGTCAAAAGCGAAGGCACTGGATTTAGGATGAAAAGGAACTTACACATCTTGAAGAGTACAGAGAGAAGGCCACAGGCTCTCCTATGGAATATTTGTATGTTGTCATGGACTGACATATTCAGACTCATTTCTAATGTTATTTTTGAAGTCCTCTTCAGAAACATCGTAGAAAAAGGAAGGAGAACAGGGAAACTCTGGGTAAAGATAAAACTCCCATAAGTGAAGATATTCAAGAGACCAATATTGCCTAATGGTGAGTATTTTGAGCATAGTGTGTGGGAAGCCTATAAGTGGGTCAATGATTGATCAGATTGAATTGTATATACCAACATCCAGAAATAAATTTATTTTCTTTATGGAACTGAAAAGTTTTGTCATAACTGTATCATTACATAATAACACAGAAAAGTAGAAACAAATAACTAGTTTTTGTTATATCATGCTAAAATAATTCATTCTAATTTTATGTTCAAAAGACAATCCCATTCTTTTCCTTGTCTTGAGTGTATTACCCCAGAAATAGACATTCTGATGCTACATAGTTGCCGTGGTTATTTTGTATGTTTTTTTCCACATTTCTGAGTAAAAGAAGACATATTTTAATTTATACATGTCAAGAGAGGAAATATAATAGTAGTGTGAAGAAGAAGATGGTGATGGAGAATTAGCATACATGAAGCATAGTTCTCAACTCTTGAAGAGTTTGTAAGTTGGGATCCCACCAGTAGTCATAGATCCTCTCAGCTTATTCAAGAGATAATCTGATGAGAGTATTGCCAAGTCACCCTCTCAAGAGTTCAAGAGGACCACCATGACACTGGACTCTGACAGCAGCAAGAAGCCGTTTACCCACATGAACAGTGGCTTCATAGTTGGTGGCACCTGAGACTCATAAGGAATTATAATTTCTCTCTTCCTGCTAACTGTTCATAGGGTCGGCTAAATTCCTGGGTAGTTCCTCTAGGTTACAGGAGAGGCTGGCAGCAATCAGTTCTGATGTCTCCTTGTCACCCTAAGTGTGAGAAATCTGTTGCTTTCCATAACTCTCATGTGACAATACTTTTCACAAACATCTCAGTAGCCAATAGTGAACAATAACACTTGCTGAGGAATTACAGTATTCTTCTCATTTATTTCAAAGATAACTCTAGTTACTCCAAACACAAATGCTGAGTTTGGATTAGCTATTATTGTTGTAATTATTGTATATTACTTTATCTTAAAGTTGGTGCTCTTATTTTCTTCATTCTCATAGGTTATAAAGTTACTGCAAGCTGGTGGCAAGCTACAAAACACCTTACTCATTGCAGATGGACAGAACATGTCTCAGGAAAACAGCTAGTATAAATGAATGTTTAAATATTGTATTTCCTATTTTATTTTTATTTGTAACTTTGTGTTGTTTGTTATTATTTTTAGTAATATTTTTATTATGGTCTAATAATTGAGAAAAAGGACTTGACTCAGTAGCAATAATAAGAAGGGACATTTAAAAATAAATTTCATTGCCAGGATTATTAGTCAAATGAAAAAAAGTAGGAAAGAGGTTAGATTTTAAGAATCGAGTCAATAACAAGGTTTACCAGCTTTGTACACTTGTCGTATGTTGAGTTTGAAATATATTATTTCCTTTCATCCTTCCAACAGTCTGTGAGATAGCATATTTTGTTCTTGTTCCTATATATACAAAAGTTAAATAATTTCACTTAGATTTAGAGATTGAGGAATTGTCAGAGTCAGAACAGAAATTGACGTAGATTCATAGCTGGTGCTCTTATCATTGTGTTAATTTAGGTTCTTGTAACATAAATCAATAAATAACCCAGGATTTCTTCCTGAATTGTGTCTTGCTATGATTCTGAGATGGTAGGGCAATTTCCCCACATTAGCACAGAATATGGAGTCATGGCCAGTGCTGATGTCATCGTCACGATTTCCGCAAAGTTATATTTTATTATTATTACTATTAGTATTATTTTTCTTTTCTATAAAGTCTCAGTGACATGAATAAATTCTCATATTTCCAAACAAAATAGATTTGCCCCCTATAGTAATAAATAGAGGTGGGAAAGTAAATTACAGGTGCTCTTTAAGTCCTTGGTAGGTATTTATCCTCAGTACAGTATAAACAGCACAGTAAAAGACTGTTAATACACTGCAGCTGACCATATGTGACCATATGAGACCATAGCCTCATTTCCAATGCATGCATGATTGCTTTGAGGTGAATTTTGATGCCATGACATCCTGACCATAACATCTATTATTTGAAACATTTTGCCACTTATTCCTTTGACTGTGTGCTCTATTTAGTAGAAAACATATTAAGCAAAAACATATTTATTTTTAGTCACCATTCTATAAACCATGGAATTTGCCACATTGATTAGGCAGGCCACCTACAAAAGCCAATGGGAAGATGTCCTCAACAGTGGTGCTTCCTGCCTGTCACAATCTTTGTAAATTTTACTTCACAATAGAGAATCCATAGATTTAAACAAAAGTGTGTGCGTGGACATAGACTGCGGTTTCACTAATGAAGAAGTAGCTCACCTGTCAATAGTAGTCAACTGAAAGAACTGACATGTCTCAAAATGAATTTCCTTCCTGGTGACTTAATGGCCATCCTTGAAACAAGACTACCCACAGCTGATTCAGACTCATGCTTTATTTTCTAACGTCTCTATGGGCTTGTGTATGCTTTTCCTCTCTAGTCATCTTTGATGCTAAACAGGCTTGAAATGAATGATCACTAGAACACTTGAAAATACCACCAACTCTGTTAAGTGTCTCTGCCTTCCTGGTTGGCTGACCAGTGCAACCTCTTTAAAGAACTTATTGCTGAAACTTTTAATGGTGTCTCTTGACATTCTGACATCTAAGAAGAATTTCAAGAAATTTCATGTCTTTTCAGAGTGTATTTTGTAAATTTTTGCATATATTATGTTGTTGTTTATATAGGCTGTTGCGGTTGTAATGGAATAAAATAAATTTATTTTTAAACAAGGCAGCCATAGTTTTCCTTGAAAATCTTCTATAGTTATCATGAATTATTAGTAGAAATAAATGCAAACATATTTGTTTTTCAAAGTTTATCTTTATAGAAACCATTCATGGAAGCATTAGAAATATTCTACTTGACTCATGTATTTTGTTTACAAATTGAAGCATTTGGAAACATTGAGATACCTCTGTGACTATCTGTCCAAGTTTCTGACCATTTCTTTGAACTCTACCTCCAGCTGTATTTGATTGACCAGTTGGAGTAATTCCTGGGGAGTTGGGAACTTGAAATTAATTTTCTTTGGTTTGGAAAGTATAAATATGTCATTTAAACATTGTTGACATCTGTTTTTTGCTTCATGTGGACTAGAAAAGTAAGTGAAGTTTTTGAGGGGAATGAAGAGAGGGGAAGAGAGAGACAGACAGACAGATAGAGACAGTAGACAGACAAAGACAGAGAGGCAGAGACAGAGAGACAGACAGAGAGAGACAGAGACAGAGACAGAGATACAGAAAGAGAGAGAGAGAGGATTCTAGTGATTGTAGCATTGTAGTCTTGGCTGCATTCACTGTCACAGCTTAGGCTCATTCCTGTCTATGAGTTCCATGAGATGGGCTGGAAGGATAGCTCAGCAGTTAAAGGCTAGGCTCACAACCAAAAATGTAAGAGTTCCATAAGACACATTAGTATCTCCATATAAGTTCCATATTTGACTTAATATAGTTCTGTTTGAGTTTCTTTAACCTGTAACTAAGGGCCCAGGGCCTTGCACATGCTAGTCAAGTGCTATGTCATTGAGATATATTTAGATAAGAAGACAAAGACTCACAACTGGACAATGTGCAGAGCAAGAGACTTTGGAACACTCAGTCCTAAGTAGGTCATCTTCATAAAGTCCCTCCCCTCATGTCTCAGATATCTAAGCAGAAGAGAGGGGCAGAAGCATTGTAAGAGCCAGAGGTGGTGGACGACTCCAAGGAAATAGTATCTTCAAGACACTACAAGACTGATGAACTCTCAGAGACTGGGGCAGCACACTGAGGATCTTTAGAAGTTTAAGGCAGAGGGAGGTCCAAGCACTGAGAGGAGGAGATGAATATAGGTTCCCTTCCCTAACCAAGAAGCCATTTGTAATTGATACTTATTGGCAAAGAGAAAATCAGTTTTCTCCAATGAAGTGTCACTGGCTATATCGACCATACTTCAGGCCAGCCCCATGCCCAGGAATAATTGGCCAACACAAAATCAATTCCATGTTTTTATGGGCTTTGTGCTAACTTTTTGGCATCTTTTGTCTTACTGGGTTTTTGTTTGTTTGTTTTTTTAGTTTTTGAGAGGGAGAGAGGGAGGGAGGGAATGAGAGAGAGAGAGAGAGAGAGAGAGAGAGAGAGAGAGAGAGAGAGAGAGAGAGAGAGAGAGAGAGAGAGAGAGAGAACAACTGGCAAGTTTAGGGAAAGGGAACAATATAATCAAAATATATTATATTATAATATATTATATGGAAATCAAGGACATATTTAGTCTCCATGTCTTCGAGATCAGGACATTTCCTTAAAGGAAAACTAGAGTAATCTGCACATAACTGTTATGGTGGCCTGATCATTTTTTCATCCATCTAAAAGTGTTTTGCAAGTAAGCAGTAAGTGCTGAGTACTGCCAGTGCTATATTTATACCAGTTACATTAAACAGTCAAAATATTTTTACAAAATTTGACCTCATGGCCTTTCTTCAAGGAATTTGGGTCTTTTACAATGTGGAATTTAAGTGGGATTTATCCAAAAAACTATGTTATTAGGAGCATTATTATCAGACTTTAAATCTGATGTTTTTAGTTATTCCAGGTGTTTTAAAGAGAGAGAGAGACAGAGACAGAGACAGAAGGAAAGACTGTCTTAAGAGTCTTAAAGGCAAGGTGAATATTTATAGGTGATCCCAGCATGTAGGACGATTGGTGGATTTCCCTGACTTTTGTAACTAACATATTTTATAACGACTGCCACGAGCACCCATGCATAACTATAGTTCCTTGGTCTAAAACTAGGTTTTAATACTTCAGTTTGCATGCTTGAGGAACACCATTGCTACACTTGGGAACCTACAGTCCTTGAGAGTCCTTTACGCATCAGCGCAATTCTTTTTCCCTTAAAGGAACCAGTTCCCATGTGACCCTCTTTGGCAGCCAAGCATTAACACCAGAACTTAAGGAGCAATTAATTAGTCCACTCTCGCCTCTTTGCTAATGTTCTTGGGCCCAGGAATGTGTGTCTTATCATAACATCTAATTGGCAAGTCTGCAAGCAAGTCATTCTTCCCAAGGCCCCATCAGCTACTGACATTTATGGAGTCTGGAATTCTTTATCAGGGAATTATAAAATTATATAACCCTAAAAACTGTATTATTAATTATGTCAAGTGATAATTAAGATTGTTGCTGGACATTTCAAAAATATGGGTCTTGAGGGTACAGCTGGTCAACAGTTATAGTCAGTACTTGTCTTCTAAAAGAAAAGTTGACCAACTGTTTTCAAAAGATTTTCCCCTCCATGTTTTGTTATTTTCACTGAAGCTTAAATTGCAAAATAAATCAAAGTGTGGCAGAAGCAAGCCAAAAAGCTGCTTCCCTTGCCTTTTGTTTTCAGTGTATTTCACAGGGCAAAATGCTTCATGAGCACAGGAGTCCTTAACATTGCTTATCATGGAAAATACGGCTATTTTTTTATTATAAGATGGATGAAGAATAATAAAATCTTTTGAAATTTTGTGACACAAGCTAGATAATGATGTTCACTGTTCTAGCTTTTAGCAAAAGATGAGGGAAAATCTTGAACTTAACTTGATCTCTAGATCCATTTTTGAAATACTGCAGTGTACAAACTAGTTAAAATAAACTTATTTATACTTTATATTTTTAACATCCTGGGAACATTTTGTCTACTCAATGAACTGGAAGCAAAAATTATAAAATGCCATTTACAGAGTGGTTTTTATCTGCTTGGTTGCTTTTTATGTGTTTCACTCTTAAAACAAGGAGAATTTGTACTTGAATTACTCCTTTCTCTACTCCTTTCATTGGAACATGAAGAAAATATTAACAAACAGATATAACACGAATGAAAATAAACATAAGGGAAAGCGATTTTTAAACTTATGCTGGGATACATTAAAGTTCATCTTTGGTGAACACCAAAGATGGACTTAAAAATAATTTGGTTCAGGGACTGGGCTAACCACACACTGTTGTCAGTATCACTGTGCCGTTTCCTAGGAGATAAAGCTAAAGCTTGTGAGTTTAAGGACCAAGTCAAAGACCACACTGCTTGTCCACCATTGTCATCTGCATCTTAACTTTTGGAATCTTCAGTTCTGAAACAAAAGTACATTTGTGCTATGTACCTCTCAAATTGTACTAAAATGAAGATATATTGTTCTGAGTTCTGGATATGCTAAATTAATTAATTAATTAATAAAAAAAGTGTAGACCTAGACAGGGTTACAAAGGAGTACTCCATAGCAGCCTTTCATCCAGATGGAGAAGGATTGGTTGTTTTCTCTCAAACCTGCTAACACATCAAAACTGAGGGAAAGGATCGAGTGTATCACACATGGACAGAGAAGTACAGTGAGTGTCCTAACCAAAGGATTCTCTAGCTAGAGGACAGAACATCTTTGTGGATCAACGAAAACAAACATCCCAATCAAACATGGGGTATGAAAAAGTAAAAGACTAGAAAAATTTGGGGACCATTCTTGATGCTTTTATAATCAGTAAAGTCTTATGCAAATTGTTGCAATTAGAAAAAAACTCAGTTTTACTGATAACCAGAGTTAAATTGATAGCCAGACTATATTAATTTAAAATAACATCATTAATTTAGTCCTCACACACCTGGGATTTCATTGCTATTTAGGCTTGGACTAGCACATGCAATAATGAAAAAAAAGAAACAGCACAGGTGAGATATAGGATTACAAAACATTCTTTTTTTGTTTTTTTCAAGACAGGGTTTCTCTGTATTGTTTTGGAGGCTGTCCTGGAACTCGCTCTGTAGACCAGGCTGGCCTCGAACTCACAGAGATCCGCCTGTCTCTGCCTCCGGAATGCTGGGATTAAAGGCATGTGCCACCAACACCCAGCTAGGATTATAAAACATTCTAACAGCAGCAGCATAACAGACACATGTCAAAAACATGCCATTGTATAATCTTCTTGCAGGTTGTAATCTGTATAGGTAAATGCTGAAAGCTGACTAGGGAATGCACTAAAATACCCAGCATGCAGAAGAAGGCACGGACAGAGTGAGAAACAGTGCCTGGAATGGACAGGTTTTAATATAAAATATCAGTGAGAGCACATTCAAGTACCTGAAAGGCACAGGTGCCTCCAAGTGCCGTGGAACAGCACACTACACAGCTGTAAGTGGTGTCAAACACGTTGTCCCCGTGGAAAGCGTACACAAACAGTAATGACAAGAAGAGCAGGTACTTTTGCCATCCAAACGCATTTTTGCTTTCACATGGTGGATTCTGTCAAAGCGTTCTTTAGAACTCCTATGGCAGAGTGGGTGGAAGTCAGGCATTCCATAATATACCCACGGGGGTTATATAAAACACTGTGAAGGGGCAGCAGAGTGGAGTGGGGCAAGACAGTGGAGAGCATATAGGAAAAAATGGCTAATGATGACAGCTATTGTAACCCAGACAAGTGAGTTTTCACTCCCTCTTGAGTTGCACACTACACTGGCTTAAACAGCCTTCAGAACGGAGGGCCCCAGCCTCAGAACTGGCTCACCATGTACATGGCCTGATCTCAAGTCATGGTTCCTTCCACACATCCACTCCCCAAGGCTGGGCTCAGCCTTTCACAGCCTCCTTAGGTGCTGTCTTCCTGTCAGTCCTGACTCTGTGAGCATCAACAGTTGGCACCATCCCAGCACTTGGATGTTCAGAGTGTTCACACTTCAGTTAGCAATGTTGCTTTCATTTTTCCCAACACCTAACCACA